AGCCCCACACTCTGGCCTCCGAGAGGGACCATCAGACGGAAGACCTGCCGCCCATGTGCTTGCACAGGAAACGCACTGGGCACCACAGGCCATCAGACACACCGCTTAAGGCAGAAGACCCCCTGCATGCCCGCTCTACATCCAAACCACACCCACCACTGTCCAGGCAATCCTCACCACGGCGGCCCCACTGGACAAAGCCGAACCGCCCCTGCGGGCTTCAGGGTGGGCGCTGGCTGCCACACCTCTCTCATGCAGAGCGGCCGATGGGCTCCAACCGCCAGCTTCTCCTGTACCCGCCCAGTGCTTACCCCCAGCACTTCTTGAACTGCCAAAGTCAACCAACCAACCCACAGCCACCAAGCCAATCCGGGAGCCACCCCTGGGAGCCCTAGGGTGGTGGATCCATCTCCGTGGGAGCAGGCAGCCTCATCCTTCCCCCACAGAGCGGCTGGTGGATTCAAATTGCCCACCTTTTGGTTAGCAGCCCAGTGTCTGGACCACTCAGGCTCCTTGTGCGCCCAACTTACACACAGAAGCCCAAACCCGCCGCCACCAAGTCAACTCCCGTCCCTGCCACCCGACACCGCAGAGGCCTCTGAGGCTGGAAATCTTCACAGTCTCATCTGTCTCCTGTGAAGCCGCTGGCAGGTTTGAACTGATGGACTCGTGGTTAGCAGCCCACTGCTGAATTCACGGACCACCAGAGCCCCTCCACGCGCCATCCATCCCAGCCCCACCCACACCCACACACATCCTGGAAGCTGGGGGATTGAGAGGTATCCCCTGGAGGTTCCAACACCCATCTACCAGCAGGGCCGGCTGCAGGTGGAAGTCCAGGGGCCCACAGCGGGGTCCTCAGAATTTGTCCTGTGCACAAAACCAAAGGCAGGGGTCAGGCGTCGGCCAGTCCTGGGACAGAAAGCAGGTCTGTGGTTGCCTGTGCTAGGGGGGTGGGGGTGGGGGTAGGGATGAGGGACACCAGTTCAAAGACCCAGGAGTCAGAATCACAAAAAAGACTGGCCAAACTGAGATTGGCAGAACCCCTGGGCCTGCAGAACCCCGCTCCACTGGGCACTGACGCAGCCCCACCAACAGGCAGGGCGGCGAGTGGACAGCATGCTCCTGCGAGCAGTGACCAGCTGCCCAAGGGCAGCACTGGGCCCAGACGAAGCTCAGAAAGCGGCACAAAAAAGACCCGGGAAGGAAGTGGGAAGGCGCTAACAAAGTGTCGAAGTTACTGAGTGGAAAACGAATTCACAGGCACCAGCACACACTTACAGATCACAGCGAACCCCATGGCCCATCCACCTACACACCCAGGCCTGGAAAGCATGTATGTGCTTCTATGTGAGTAGCGTCCATATGCAAAGTGAGAAGAGACACAGGGACGGATATGTGCAGCAACAATGTATCGACCTGGACTGATGCTTGATACATCTAACAACAATGTATCAGCCTGGACAAAGGGCCACAAAAGGACTAGCCAGGAGATTTGCTGCATTTACTGAACAGCATTTATTTGCTCAGAGCTCTAGCCAGCGGGCTTCTGCTGCTGGTGGGTATGTGCTGCGCCCAGGGAGGGCCCACCTGCAGAGAGGCGGAGGGCAAGACCTCCCTGGGTGCTGGGATGTGCCCATTTGTTCAGTCAGCAGAAGGTCCGGATAAAATAGTCAGGTGGGGCTCCAGTCCTGGCGGGGGTGGGGTGGGAGGGTGTCCTGCAGTCACCTGCTCTGGCCTGCTCTGTGTCTCAACCGCCATGCCAGGCTATCAGTCAAGGCCCCCAGCCCTGTTCCTGCAGGTGCCACCGCCCTCTCTGAGAACGAAGAGATGCTGGTCCTGAGCGTCAGATGTGCCCAAGAGCTGATCCCCGAGGTCCATCCGACTGCTTACGGCTGCCCGGCACTGGTGAGGCCCGGGCATGTCACACAATTTCTGCTCCCCTCCTCCCCACACACATGCATGCCCTCCTCTCAGGTGCTGCCTGTCCTCAGATAAGGGTTCACTTGGAGCACAGCTGGAGTCCCAGTACAGCCCACCTGTCCAGCCATCCAGAGCTGCAGCAAGTGCTGGCCAAGCTCCACAAGCAGAATGGACTTGGATGGGCATGGTGAGCACAGCCCCTGCCCCTTGCCTGCAAGCCTCGTGCAGACAGGCATAGGTCCCTAGGGGGGCCACCTCTGCCAGGGTGACGGGGGTGACACTGGTGACTTGAGCAGCCCTGGAAGGGTCCTCACACTGTACACAGGGACTGTCCCCAGGGAGCAGGGTGGTTAGAGCATGCGCTGCGGGGAAGGGACAAGCCAGCAGACATGCCCAACAAGCACCACGTGACACATGGCTGAAGGCATGCCCGGGGAGGGGCAGGGCCATACCCACCTTGGCCACCAGTGCATAGCCTGGCAGAGGGGTATCCAGTGAATACGGGGATGTGGTGGGGCGTCCCCTCCCAGGGGCTAAGGTGGGACCCTGGGTCCTGGTGCACCTGGACTTGCAGGTGGCTACCACAGGACCTCAGGCCCTCGAGAGCAGGGACACATTGGGTCCCAGTGGGAAGACGGGGGCAGGCCCGGCAGGTGGGTGAGCGGCAGGTGTCCATGTCCTCCAGTGGGGCCCAGTACCACAATCCATGGGGCCAGGAGGTGCTTCACTCCTGGACACCCTGGTCCATCCCAGAGAAGGGGGAATCACCCGCCAACTGCAGGAAGTGACCATGGGTCAGGCCACTGGGCAAGAGTGGATGGCAGAGGCAGCAGAGTCCGAGGTCCAGTGCCCCAGGAGTGAGGTGCAGGCCCAGGCCCAGCCTCTTCAGCACACTGCCGGGTCATGGGCAGACTAGAGGCAGCTAAGGATGCCCCTTTAAAGGAAGGCTAGGAAACATGGAAATGGGGTCTCCTTCAGGGTGGCGTGGAGATACAGGTCTGGGAGTGGGGGAGACATGCCCACAGGACCCAAAGGGGGCCCTGTTGTGCTGCTGGGGCACGGTCACCACCACCAGTTGCTGCCCGTCAGGACAGCCACCAAGGAGCTTATCAGGGAGGGACGCAGCCACTGCTCCGGCTGGAACTGTGCCTGGGCTGAGCCCTGCTGTGAGGCCCTGGGGACCACGCAGGCCAGCCCCTCCCTCGGCAGGTGGGGAAACAGAGGCAGAAAGTAGAAGGGGCTTAGTGTCGGGGGCGGGCCTTGTGCTTACACTAGGCCCCATTCCCGGTCCGAGCAGGCTAGGCAGCCCCCAAGAAGTCATCGCTAGGTCTCAGAGGGTGGCCAGGCTGCAGAGGGGGTGCAGGAATAGGGGCAGGGTGGGCTGTACCCTCCCCCACCTTGGTGACACTGGCAACACCTCTGCCGATAACCCAGATTCCTGCCAGAGGCAGCTGCCGCCTCTGCCCCACTTAGGAGCCGACACAGCACCAGGTTGGGAGAGTGAGGGGCCCTACACGACCCCCGCAGACCAACCCCACACTCCGGCTGCCCATCCCAGGGAGGGGCCTGAGCTAGGTCCAAGGGGGAAGGAAGCTCTGGTGGCCTTGTGGCTACAATGGAGCATGGGGGACAGCACGGCCCCTGGACCTACCCCCTGCACTGTAACCCATCCACCCTCTGCAAAGCCCCCGCCTACCAGTATGGCTGGAGCGAGAGTGTCCCCTCTCGGTGCCCACAGGGCTCCCAGCACTGGTCCCCAAGTGGAGGCCCGGTCCCCAAGCACAGGACCTGGGTCTGCTCCTGGCTGTCCATGAACTGGCTCAGCCGGGCGCTGGGCTTGGGCGCCGCCCCCCTCCCCCACGCACCCACCCAAGGGACTGCCCGGTGGCCATCAGCTCTGCCCTAGGACTAGAGTCTGACTGTCCCAACCTCTCTGGGGCCCAGGAGAGCCCTGGACCAGTGCTCCCTCGGGACGCAGTGGGCAGCAGGGCAGGGAGAAGTGTAGACGGACAGATGCCACAGCTGAGGGGGGCTGCTGCCTCCGCAGAACCCAGCAGGGTCCTGACTTTGGACTCCAAGCCCCAGCGGCTTCCACCACCCATTCAGGCCCAGGTGCTCCATGCCCCCACAGACATCCTCCC